TATTATGGGCTGTTTTCTCCAGAGAGAAAAATATTTAAGTTTTCCCCGCCGGCACATTTGCATTTGTGAAGACACTTATGGGCAGCCGAGTGCATTTGCAGGTAATTATATGATTGGCTTACACACCTACAAGTTAGCAAGATTTCTCCTACAATATCTTCAGAGTTTGTGTGTGCAGAAGGTGAAGGAAAGACGAAAGGATGGAAAGAGAGAGAGAGGGAGAGGGGGGGGGGTGGAAGATGAGGGATCGGAGGGAAAAGGTTAAGGCAAAGGAAGGGGGATGTGTCATCATTATATTCTGGTGTGTGTACAGATCCCTATCTGTAGCTACGTTAAATGACTTACAGGACCCAGGAGAGACAGGAGGAGCTAAAAGCGATTAGTGAAATTGAAAGAAATTCGGAATATTTCTTTTCATATGCCAAAAACAAGGCAAATACCACATCTAGTATCGGGCCCTTACTCAGACAAGATGGAACTTACACAGATGACAACAGAGAAATGAGTGAGATACTGAAATCCCAGTACGACTCTGTGTTTAGCCATTCACTAATCAGTCTAAAGATCGACATTCCAAATTATTTTTTCATGAAGGAGCCTCAAAACTCCATTAGTGTATGCCAGATTTCCGACATTACCCTAACACCGATAGCCTTAGAGAAAGCGATTGACACATGCCCATGCACTCAGCCCCAGGCCCAGACTCGTGGAACTCTGTGTTCATTAAGAACTACAAGAAACCCCTCTCACAGGCCCTAAGTAATTATTAATAGAAGGAGCTTAGACATGGATGAAATTCTAGTCACTAAAAATAACGGATATAGCCCCACTCCATAAAGGTGGCAGCAAAGCATCAGCTAAGAAATATAGACCATTAGCTCTAACGTCCCACATCATAGAAATCTTTGAAAGAGTGCTAAGAAGCACGATTGCAAACCACTTGGACTCCCAAAACCTGAACAATCCAAGACAACATGGGTTCAGAGCAGGTCGCCCCTGCCTCTCGCAACTACTGGATCACTATGATATGGTCTTGGATGCACTGGAAGAAAAACAGATATAAACCAAGTTTTCCAATGGGCAACGGAAAACAATATGATGTTCAGTGAAGACAAATTCCAACTATGTTATGGAAAACTGGAGGAGATGATAATGTGAGGGACCTGAGAGTGGTAATGTCTGAGAATCACACTTTCAAGGATCATAACAGTGCCACGATCACAACTGCGAAGAAAATGATAGGATGGATAATGAGAACGTTCAAAACAAGAGATGCCAAGCCAGTGATGATCCTTCTCAAATCACTTTTTCTCTCTAGACTGGAATACTGCTGTACATTAACATCTCCGTTGAAAGCAGGTGAAATTGCAGAGCTAGAAAATGTACAGAGAACCTTTACTGCACATATAAGTTCCATCAAACACCTCAACTACTGGGAACTTTTGAAAGCACTTGATTTGTACTCGCTGGAACGCAGGCGAGAGATGTATCATAATCTGCACTTGAAAAATGCTAGAAGGAATGGTCCCGAAACTGCACACAGAAATCACTCCCTATGAAAGTAAAAGACTGGGCAAGCGGTGCAAAATACCCCCAATGAAAAGTAGGGGCGCCATTGGTACACTAAGAGAGAACACCATAAGTGTCCGGGGCCCAGGACTGTTCAACAGCCTCCCACCATGCATAAGGGAAATTACCAATAGGCCCCTGGCTGCCTTCAAGAGGGAGCTGGACAGATACTGCAAGTCGGTGCCGGATCAGCCGGGGTGTGGTTCATACGTTGGACTACGTGCGGCCAGCAGTAACAGCCTGGTTGATCAGGCCCTGATCCACCGGGAGGCCTGGTCGTGGACCGGGCTGCGGGGGCGTTGATCCTCGGAATGCCCTCCAGGTAGGTAGACGTGATATGTAAAGATCCATATCTATACTGATGTGTAAGGATATGCACGTGATGTGTCAAGATACAGCTCTGTACGTGATGTTCTTATCAACGTTCCCACTTGTGATTTACCATCTTCATCGTGTGATCCATCACCGTTGTTTTCCTTGAAACACTTGTGTACCGTCTCTCATCACAGGTACACCACCTGCGGAGTATCACAGGTGCACCACCTGTGGAACATCACAGGTGCACCATCTGCGGAGGCTTCAGACCCCAAGTTTATTGACTAGGCTGCCAGTGTTGTGAGAGGGGAAGTGTGTACTTGATTGCACTCCTGACAAATGCAGTGTGAGAAGATCGGACACGGAATACAAACTGACATGACGGAAGCTGCAGACAACGTACAAGAAATAAACATTAAATAAAGCATATCACCAGATATACATATTAACTGTGTAACTTCCGCAGCACATGCCAAGACTAGGTAACCTAAAAACTGGTTTCAGGAGTCTGAACAAGGATTTACTTGGAATATTATACACAACAACTTGAGGCTCAATTTGGAGTATGAGGCACCAGTATGAGCCTGCACCTCATTAAACCTGTAAGAAACTAAGTAAGATTTAAAGGTTCGTAACGAGACTTGTGCCAGAAATAATGGGAGAGACCACGAAGACAGATTTAAGAAACTGGAAAAGCTTGAAGCTAGAAGGGAGGACTGAGGGATAATATGATCATGATATACACAATACTCAGGGATCAGATTAGTTCAAACTGTTTCAGATGGCGAGGAGAGGAAGCCAGGAGACACACATGGCTGGTTCGTTAGGTAGTATTTTTGTCAGTCTCAGAGTATTAAATTGAGAGTTAGGAGGGGGCCACGAACTGTTAATTGACCCCTTCAAACACAAGAATGCATGTCGAGATACTGGGCTGGAGGGCTGCAGCGGGGGGGGGGGACCAACCTTCTCCACTCGGATATTGAGGATACTTTATGTGCATCACAGATCGGTCCAGCATAATTCTGCTGTGAATTATTCTTCCATGATAAATCTTAAAAAAATTGAGGATGTGCTGGGAAGGATGGGAGGAGGCCCGTGTGAAGTATTGTCTCTGGATAATTACCAGTTTGTGATAACTCATCTTTAAATCATTCCCTCTTGACTATATTAGTTTTTGTGAGGAGTTGTTGATTGATCTTGGAGTTGAAGACTTCCCTCTGATAGATTATTATGCCTCGCTTACTTTCCTATCCCCCAAGACAAAACAAATCTTAGGTACTTTTTTTTAAATGTATTTCGCATGTCAAGAATCCTGTGTACACTGTGTGCGTGTGTGTGTGTGCGTGTGTGTGTGTGTTTGTACTTTAGAGTAATCTGAAAAGTTTCGCCTCGCAGATATAGTCGTATATATCCTTGAAATTGTATATGAAGTTTGGTTTTTCTACATCGTCATCGAGGTCATTCAACCTCTCTACTACCCTGACACTTAATACTTGGGGAGCCTTGATGCTGGTGTTCAGTTGTTTGAAGAAACGTCAACTACCTTCCTCTTGGATCAATCCAGATTACCTTCCATTCCCCGGATTTAAACGCTGTCTTATTAATATTTTTCGTAGCCTCCATATAACATTCTTGTATATTTGGCTACCATCTGCGCCCCCTTATCACTGGACAATGAGAGCACTGTCTTTTTTACCCTGTCAATCGATTATATGCATATTTACGTTGTAATCCTGTTCCCGCTAGTCTTCCTCTTCAAATTTAGTTCCTTCAGTCTCTTCATTTCTCTGCTCTGGTTTTGTTAGTAACGTTTAGACGATGTTTGATCAGTTTGGGGCATCACAGTGGGGGTGCTTATTGCATTATGGACCTTACATTGTGTAAGGTGTCCTGAAAAAAGTTCCCGTCTGGGGGGTGTTCCGGTGGTCAACGCCCCAGCGGCCCAGTCCTTGACCAGGCCTCGCGGTGGATCAGGGCCTGATCAACCAGGCTGTTATTGCTGGTCGCACGTATTCCACCATATGAACCACAGCCCGGCTGATCGGGTACTGACTTCAGGTATCTGTCCAGCTCCCTCTTAAAGACAACCAGGGGTCTTTTGGTAATTCCCCTTATGCCTGGTGGGAGGCTGTTGAACAGTCTTGGGCCCCGGGCACTTATTGTGTTTTCTCTTAAATTAATGGTGCCCCTATTTTTCACTGGGGGGTATGTTATACAGTCTGCCCAATTCTTTTCTTTCGTAGGGCGTGATTTCTGTGTGTATATTTCGGACCAGTCCCTCTAGGATTTTCAAGGTGTAGATTCTCTCTCTCGCCTGCGCTCCAGTGACTACAAGTCAAATTACTCCAAGCGTTCCCAGTAATTAAGGTGTTTGACGGAACTTATATGTGCAGTAAAGGTTCTCTGTACATTTTCTAGATCTGCGATTTCACCTGCCTTGAATGTGTGTGTTAGTATAAAGCAATATTCCGGCCTAGAGTGAGCAAGTAATTTAAAAAGGATCATCATTGGTTTGGCATCCCTGGTTTTGAAGGTTCTCATTATCTATCCTATCATTTTCCTCGTACTTGTTTAGGTCTCTTGATATACACGAGATTTGTTAGTCTCGTGTATGCCACCAAGGATCATTTACGTATACTGACAACAATCGAGGGATCAGTACCGATTCTTTAGGGAAATACACTTGCTCTACTTTTCTATCCTGACAACGCGTTGCTTGTATTAAGGATATATCTGTTGCTTGTATTATGGATATATATGTGTTGCTTGTTATGAATACATCAGTTTGTTACTTGTGTTATAGATGTGTCAGTTGTTGGTGTTCCCTAGGATAGTGTTGGCGCCACCATAGCTTGTGTTACTGGTGTATCAGGCAGCGAACACTTGTGTTGTTGTATTTGAGCTTAATTTTATTTCCGTGTGCGTAAAATTAAAACATTTTTTGCATGAGAAACAATTTTTTTTTTTTTATAAATGGGCTTTATCGTTTATCTTGACTTCTCTATTCCGATTATGTTTAAGACCCGACTGTATTTTATCTGAAACTTTCACCTAAAACTATTCGCTTAATGTATTAAGACTTCATTATTAACTGCTTTCGTTTTTATCGTCCACAGGCGAACTCTGTTTTCCTGAGCATGTCGCTGTTCATCATGTGTCGACACACCAACATCACCGCCTCCCTCAAGAATAAAGAACACACCAAGCTGGCCTCAGTCAGGTGAGTTTAGCTTCCTTGTGTGAGCCCATCACGAAGGGAACAGCAAAATCTGGAGTTTTCGGACATAGAGAAAGATTAAGATTGAAACAATGGGTGAGGAAAGTGGTAGGGAGGATGGATAAAACAATGTTACAGAAAATTGATACACAGAAGGACGAGGAGCTAACGTGAGGGAACGCTCGTTGTTATAAGTGTAAATGATCCGGGTAAAAAAAAAAAAATCTTGAAATGGAGATTTGGTGATGTTCCAAAAAGAGGAAGGTGAGCGGAAGTGAAGTAGCCAGGGAAGGCGGTGGATGGTTGCATCTGCACAAGAACCTGGAAGTCTGAGCTAATGTTCTAAATGAGAGAAACACTTTACCTGTAGGGGTCTTATAACCGAGAAATGGGAAGTAACAAGGGAAGGTAACTCCAGTTCCTGGGCTCAAGAGCCTTTCACCGTTACAAGGGAGCAAGTCAACAGTGTTTATGCCTTTTCTCTAGTCTAAACAACACTACAGTGTAGGTTGTGTTGATTAATGACAACACTGATTGTATACTAAGTTTTAGATCTTGAGATCTCGCCTTTTATTTAATATTTTGCTTTTCATAGCATATTTTAATTTATTTTTAATTTCATAACTTTCTAAATATTTTTGCTAACATTGCTAGTTTAGATGATCTTCAGTTTCATATAATTTACTTATTTAAAATATCCTTATGCGTGTACTTCAACTGGTGTATACTAACTAATAGTACTCAAGCTTGAGGAACCATGGGTTGGGTGCTCTATATCTGGTTACTTCCTCTGTACTAACTTGTTCCTGTTTGCCTCTGAACGTCTGATCTGCGCGTCTTCATCTGCTGTCGCTGCTTCTACTACTACTACTGCTGCCACTGCTATGGCGGTGGCTGCGTTGGTAATGGTGGTGGTGGTGACGGTATGGGTGATGGTGATGACGTATGTAGTGGTGCAGAGGAGAGTGCACTCTTCGCCAAAATCCAGAATCATGTGTAAGACAAAATGTAGTATTTTCAGCTTCTTGAGGAACCAGCTATGAAACCTGACTGAGGTAGCCGTTTTCTTAAAAGATGTCATATTCACTGCATTACACTTTGTTCTCAGACAAATTCAGTGATTAATATTTGTTCGTAAGTTGCATGTGGTGGTGCTCAGTCAGGTCTCTGATGCTGTGCTTGCTGGCATTAGCACGTGGCCCACACCTGCCCAGGTGGAGGGACATACATACTCGTGCAAACATCAATAGCCTCACGAGATCACACTACCTGTTGTCAGAGGTACCTGGAGACGGGTCGCTACTGCATGGGGAACCTGTTTGTGGCATCTTGGATTGGTATTTCTCACTAACCACTATCTTCCTTCTCACTAAAGTTATATCTACTCACTAGTAGCAGCCTCAGGGAAGAGCACACCTGTGAACTACCCAGAGCACCGCACTGAAGTCATACATTGAAGCAAGGCTCTGAGCCTCACATAACCACTGAATTAATGCTTTGGCCTGTCATTTTACTTGTTTTACGAAACAGAGAAAAGACCAGCAATCATGCCAGAGTGCAAAAAAAATAACATGCTTATTTTTCACACTTTTATGACAGGATGCTACTAAAAATGATGTGCACCGACCTTCTACACTGCATACATATTACCAATAACCATGTTTACTTGATAAGCAGGCGAGGCCCCAGTATGACCCCCCTGCCCTAGTTAATTCCAAGCCTGGGTGGCCTATGTGTAAGTCCATTCTTGTTTACATGTCACCTACCCTAGTCGCCTCACGGACACACACACACACACACACACACACGCACGCACACACACACACGCACGCACGCACACACACAGTGATTACATAGTGATTACATAGTGATTACATAGTGATTACATAGTGGGAACACTTCACTCTGGAGGTCCCAAGGTGGTAATAGCAGTGATGTATAACCCACCACAGAACAGCAGGAGGCCAAGGCAAGAGTACGACGAGAGCAATAGAGCGATGGTTGACACACTGGCTAGAGTGGCCAGAAGAGCTCATGCATGCAGGGCAAAGCTCCTGATCATGGGTGACTTTAACCACAAGGAGATCGAATTGGGAGAACTTGGACCCACATGGGGGCCAAGATACATGGAGGGCTAAGATGATGGAGGTGGTACTGGAGAACTTCATGTACCAACACGTAAGGGACACTACAAGAGAGAGAGGAGAGGATGAACCAGCAAGGCTGGACTTAGTATTCACCTTCAGTAGTGCAGATATCGAGGACATCACATATGAAAGACCCCTTGGGGCCAGTGACCATGTGGTTTTAAGCTTCGAATACACAGTAGAGCTACAAGTGGAGGGAGAAGCAGGAAGGCCAGGACGAATGAAGCCAAACTACAAGAAAGGGGAATACACAGGAATGAGGAACTACCTGAACGGGGTTCAGTGGGACAGAGAACTGGCAGGGAAGCCAGTTAATGAGATGATGGAATATGTAGCAACAAAATGCAAGGAGGCTGAGGAGAGGTTTGTACCCAAGGGTAACAGGAGTAATGAAAAAGCCAGGATGAGCCCATGGTTTACCCAAAGGTGCAGGGAGGCAAAAACCAAGTGTGCTAGGGAATGGAAGAAATATAGAAGGCAAAGGACCCAGGAGAATAAGGAGAACAGTCGTAGAGCCAGAAACGAATATGCACAGATAAGAAGGGAGGCCCAAAGACAATATGAAAATGACATAGCAGCGAAAGCCAAATCTGACCCGAAACTGTTGTACAGCCACATCAGGAGGAAAACAACAGTCAAGGACCAGGTAATCAGGCTAAGGAAGGAAGGAGGAGAGACAACAGGAAATGACCGTGAAGTATGTGAAGAACTCAACAAGAGATTCAAAGAAGTGTTCACAGAGGAGACAGAAGGGACTCCAGAAAGACGGAGAGGTGGGGCACACCACCAAGTGCTGGACACAGTGCACACAACCGAGGAAGAAGTGAAGAGGCTTCTGAGTGAGCTAGATACCTCAAAGGCAATGGGGCCAGATAACATCTCCCCATGGGTATTGAGAGAGGGAGCAGAGGCGCTATGTGTACCCCTAACAACAATATTCAATACATCTATCGAAACAGGGAGATTGCCTGAGGCATGGAAGACAGCAAATGTAGTCCCAATCTTTAAAAAAGGAGACAGACATGAAGCATTAAACTACAGACCAGTGTCACTGACATGTATAGTATGCAAAATCATGGAGAAGATTATCAGGAGAAGAGTGGTGGAACACCTAGAAAGGAATAATCTCATCAACAGCAGCCAGCATGGTTTCAGGGAGGGAAATCCTGTGTCACAAACCTACTGGAGTTCTATGACATGGTGACAGCAGTAAGACAAGAGAGAGAGGGGTGGGTGGATTGCATTTTCTTGGACTGCAAGAAGGCGTTTGACACAGTTCCACACAAGAGATTGGTGCAAAAACTGGAGGACCAAGCAGGGATAACAGGGAAGGCACTACAATGGATCAGGGAATACTTGTCAGGAAGACAGCAGCGAGTCATGGTACGTGGCGAGGTGTCAGAGTGGGCACCTGTGACCAGCGGGGTCCCGCAGGGGTCAGTCCTAGGACCAGTGCTGTTTCTGGTATTTGTGAACGACATGACGGAAGGAATAGACTCTGAGGTGTCCCTGTTTGCAGATGACGTGAAGTTGATGAGAAGAATACACTCGATCGAAGACCAGGCAGAACTACAAAGGGATCTGGACAGGCTGCAGACCTGGTCCAGCAATTGGCTCCTGGAGTTCAATCCCACCAAGTGCAAAGTCATGAAGATTGGGGAAGGGCAAAGAAGGCCGCAGACGGAGTACAGTCTAGGGGGTCAGAGACTACAAACCTCACTCAAGGAAAAAGATCTTGGGGTGAGTATAACACCAGGCACATCTCCTGAAGCGCACATCAACCAAATAACTGCTGCAGCATATGGGCGCCTAGCAAACCTCAGAACAGCATTCCGACATCTTAATAAGGAATCGTTCAGGACCCTGTACACCGTATACGTTAGGCCCATATTGGAGTATGCGGCACCAGTTTGGAACCCACACCTAGCCAAGCACGTAAAGAAACTAGAGAAAGTGCAAAGGTTTGCAACAAGACTAGTCCCAGAGCTAAGAGGTATGTCCTACGAGGAGAGGTTAAGGGAAATCAACCTGACGACACTGGAGGACAGGAGAGATAGGGGGGACATGATAACGACATACAAAATACTGAGAGGAATTGACAAGGTGGACAAAGACAGGATGTTCCAGAGATTGGACACAGTAACAAGGGGACACAGTTGGAAGCTGAAGACACAGATGAATCACAGGGATGTTAGGAAGTATTTCTTCAGCCACAGAGTAGTCAGTAAGTGGAATAGTTTGGGAAGCGATGTAGTGGAGGCAGGATCCATACATAGCTTTAAGCAGAGGTATGATAAAGCTCACGGCTCAGGGAGAGTGACCTAGTAGCGATCAGTGAAGAGGCGGGGCCAGGAGCTCGGACTCGACCCCCGCAACCTCAACTAGGTGAGTACAACTAGGTGAGTACACACACACACACACACACACAGGAGTACAGGTTAGGAAACCAACAGCTGCAAACGTCAGTTAAAGAAAAGGATCTTGGGGTAAGCATTATAACGAACATGTCCCCTGAGGCACACATCAATCAAATAACTGCTGCAGCATATGGGAGATTGGCAAACCTGAGATTGGCGTTTAGACATCTGAGTAAGGATTCATTCACGACATTGTACACAGTGTACGTAAGGCCTATACTGGAATATGCAGCGCCAGTATGGAACCCTCACTTAGTCAAACACGTCAAGAAATTGGAGAAAGTGCAAAAATTTGCAACACGATTAGTCCCGGAACTTATGAGAAGAGGTTAAGGGAACTCAACCTGATGACACTAGAGGATAGGAGGGATAGAGGGGACATGATAACAACGTATAAGATACTAAGAGGCATTGACAACGTGGACAAGGATCGAATGTT